TGAGTAGCAATTTCACTACATGAATATACCACAAATTTTACTCCTGTCTCCTCTTGATGGACATTTGAGTTTTTCGAGTTTGAGACTATTTTATTTTCAGTTTGTCAGTACACATTTTTGTTTCTCTGCGGGTTTCTCCCCAGTAGAACCTCAGAGTAGAACTGCTGCTTGATGGGGTAGGTGTGTGTTTCAGTTAATAAGACAGGTTTCCAAAGTGGTTACACCACTCTACCTCCTACACATAATGTAGGAGCTACAATCATTTCTAACATTTGGCTTTGAAATAGTATCCAGTGATTTTTGTTGACATTTCTCAAATAACATATAATTTTTGACCATCTTTTCATGTACTGATTAGCCTTTTGTATGTCTTTTTTGGCAAATCTTTTGTCCTTTTTATTGAGTTTTAATATTGAGGGCGTAAACTCTTTATATGTTCTGGATACACATATATGTATTACAGATATATGTATTACAATTATTTTCTTTTAGTCAGTAGTTTGCCATTTAATTTTCTTAATAGTGTATTAATAAGCAAGAAGTTTTTCATTTTGATGAAGTCCAATACATCCACCTTTTTTCTCTTTTATTTTCCTTTTTGTATCTTTACTATCTTTGTCTACTGCCAAAGTTAGGAAGATACTGTCCTCTGGTTTCTTCTGAATATTTTATAGTTTTAACCTTTCTGTTTAGGTGCATAATCTAATTAATTTTGTGTAAGATTGAAATTTTTTATACATTTGCTCAGGTGTTCTAGGACAATTTGATGCAAAGGTTTTCTGTTTCCCATTGAATTGATTGGGTGCCTATATTTAAAATTGATTAACCTTATAGGTAAGAGTCTATTTCCAAATTCTTTATGCTCTCTATTGATCAACTTATCTATCCTTATGCCAGTGCTAAACTGTCCTGTAGCTTCAGTACATTTGAAATGCAGAGCTCTGATTTGTTCTACTTTTTCAATGCTGTTTTGGCTACTCTTTGGGTTTCTACATACATTTTTAAATCAGCTTATCAATTTTTTAAATCCCACTGAGACTTTTTAAATATTACAATGCCAATTTGGGGAATTTTTCACATATTTACCACTGAATTTGCTAATCTATAAATGTAGCTCTCCATTTATTTATATCCTCCTTAATAGCTGTCAGGGATGTTTTGTAATTTCCATTGCAGAGGCCTTACACATTTTTTATTATTTTTGTTTCCAAATATTTTGTTTATACTGCATAAATAAAGCTATTTTTTAAATTATTTTTTCTCATTGCTTGATGCTAACCTATAGAAATATAACTGACTTTTGTACAATAACCTTGATGAATTTACTTTATTAGTTCCTATAAATGCATTGGAGAAAATGATTTTCCATGTAAATAAAGATGTCTTAAAATAAAGGAAGTCTTTTTTTCTTCCTTTCCAATCTGGGTGCCTTTTATTTGTTTCTGCTGCCTAGCACTGGCTAGAGCCTCCAGCACACTATTGAATATAAATGGTGAGATATTCCTGTCTTTCCCTTATCTTAGGGAAAAATATGCAAAATTTTGCCATTAAGTATATTAGGTATAGACTTTTTTTATAATGCCCTTTATCAAATTAAGGAAATGTCATCCTATTAATTATTTGCTGAGAGGTTTTATCATATAAATAGATGGTGAATTCTGTCAAATGCTTCATCTGCATCACTCAAAATGACCAGATTGTTTATGTCTTTTATTCTGTTAATATGAGTTACATTGATTGATTTTTATTGCTGGACCTATCTTGATGTTCTGGGGCACATCCTACTTTTTAATTATGTAATAACATCAATGTGTTAATATTCACCTAAGGAATTTTGCATATACATTCTTGAGAGACATTTATCTGTAAATTTCCTTTTGTAATATTTTTTGCCAGTTTTTGGTACCAAAGTTGAGCTGACTTCATAAACTAAGTTGGGGAGGGTTCATTTCTCCTCTATTTGTTGGAAGAATTGGGGTATTGGTACTATTTCTTACATATTTGACAGAATTTACAAGCATATAACCATGTCTGGTAGAGTTTTCTTTGTAGGTAAACGTATTAATAATAAATTTAATTTCTTTGAAAGAAATGGAACTATTGAGATATTCAATGTCTCCCTCATTTTTACTTTTGGGCAATATCTCTTTTTAATTTTCTTTTTCTTTATTGATTTTAGAGAGAGAGGAAGGGAGAGGGAGAGAGAGAAACATCGATGAGAGAGAATATCAATTGGCCGCCTCCTATGTGCCCCCCACTGGGGATCAGGCCCACAACCTGGGCATGTGCCCTGACCGGGAATTGAACCAGCAACTTCTTGGTGCATGGGTTGACGCTCAACCACTGAGCCACACCAGCTGGGCGCAATATCTCTTTTTAGTGATTGCTCTAAGGATTGCAATATTCAACCTTATCTTATCAGAGTTTATTTAGAATTAATGTTGTACTGTTTCATGTAAAATATGAGATTCACAACAATATATCATATCCTATCCTTTGTACTATAGTTGTCATATATTTTACTTCTGCATATGTTATAAATGCCACAATTATGTCATAATATTTGCTTTAAGTAGTTATCTTTTAAGAATGTAAGCATATAAACTCTGCTCAAATTATTATATGTCCTCTTCATCATGCCTGTGTGGAGGAGACTCCACAGAAAACATGAAATTGCAATAGTTAGAAGGCTCTAGATATATATATATAGTCTTGTATATTTACCGAAGTGTACCTTTTCTGATACCCCTAATTTCTATCTGTAGGTCTGAAATTTCACCTAGTATAATTTCCCTTTGATCTAAAGAACTTCCTAAAACAACTCAATTTTTATTTATCTGGAAATACCTTTACTTTGTTTTCATTATTGAAGAATATTTTGTGCACATAAGAATTTAAGGTGGACATCTTATTTTTTCTCTGTCAGAGGTTTAAAGATATTATTCCAGTGCCTTCTGGTTCCCATAGTTTCTGATGGAAAGTGATATTTTATCCTGGATGTTTTCAAGATTTCCTATTTGTCTTTTTTTTTTTCAACCATTCGACTGTGATGTGCTTAGCTTTTATTATGTGCTTGTTTGTTTGTTTGTTTGTTTGGATGGATGTATTTATTCTGCTTGGATTTGCTGAGTTCTTAAACCTAACAGTTGATCATTTATTGCCACATTTGGAAAATTCAGAACCATTTTTTAAAAATATTTTTTCAGCCAAATTTTTTCTCTCTTCTTGTTCCAGAACTCAAATTATGTATTTATCCCTTTGATGTTGTCCTGCAGGCCACCAGGACTTTTTCTTTTATTTCAGACTCAATAATGTCAATTGATCTATCTTCATGTTCACTGATCCTTTTTTCTGCCAACCTCAATCTGCTGTTAAGTCCATCCCATACATTCAGCACCTTTTAAAACTTTTTAGATATGTAATCATTAGTTATAGTATTTTCATTTTGTTCTCTTTTATAGTTTCTACTTCTCCATTAAGGTTAAATGTCTGTTTAATATCATGACAATGTTTTATGTTTAGCCCTTGAACATATTTACAAGAGCTGCTCTAAAGTCCTTTTTCTGCCAGTTCCAATATCTGGATCATCTTAGGGTCAGTTTCCATCAACTGTTTTTTTTTCTTGACTATGGGTCACATTTTTCTTTTTCTAGTTATTTGTAGTAACTTTTGAATATAGGAAGAACTCTGTTGAAAATGGGGGGTGCAAATCTATTATCCTCTAGTGAGTATTAATTTTAGCTCTGATAGTTAATTTGTCTAGATTAATACCCAAATTCCTTTTTTGAAGCAGCACCAAAAATCTATGCTTAGTTCTTTTTAGAGCCTTCTAACTATTGCAATTTCATGTTTTCTGTGGAGTCTCCTCCACACAGGCATGATGAAGAGGACATATAATAATTTGAGCAGAGTTTATATGCTGATTTGATGTTTTCATTTTTATATTTTTATCATTTCTAGGCATTTCCTCCCATAAAAATAGCCAGCCACTTTGGGAATCCAAAATTATTTTCTCTAATTCCTTAAGACAAAATTGTGGCTTTTTGTAATATTCTAGATGTCTATCATTATGTGACCTGAGCAGTGCCATCAGATAAAAAATTTAAAAATAAAAAGTTGAGAAAAGGAAAAAAAAGGACACAAAGATTTCATCTTTTTTTTTAAAGGGATAAAATTCCCTCTAGTTTCTGCCTGCTTTTGTTTACTCTCCATTGTTTTTAAATAGGATTTTCAAAAATATATTGTCCAAAGTTTAGAGTTATATATTAGAAAGTTAGTGTGATATAAGTTATTCTGCCAATACTGGAACTAAACCTTACACTTATTTTAAATAGGAAATTTTTGAAAGAGTACAATTGGGAGCTTTTAATGTTAGTTGCATAGTGGGCGACTCTCTCTTCTTCCATTTTCTGGAAGCCTGATCTTAATTAGTTATAGAAAGTTACAGAAGTGACATAATTCCATTCCCAGAACATAGTATGGAACAGGGAGCAGGGTTGGTTTTAAAATATGTTGATGGGTTAAAAGTAGAGCACAGTCAAAATTACTTATGAAAACCCATAAATTATGCATTAAATATATATGGTTTTATGTATATAATCCTTTAGACAATTTTATCATTTCCTTTAACCTTTTTTGGTCAGTGTTTCTTTACAAACTTTATTTCTTCCATGTGCCTGTAGGATATCAAAAATACTATTACTTTTTCACCCAAACAAAGTATTTGTTTTTCAATGATCAATTATTAAGAATAAGAATTTTCTATTATTTTCATGAACATGCTTTGCTTATTTTAGGTTTACTTACATCTAATGCCTGAGGAAATCATCACTGATGGTAGCAAAAAGCTACATTATTTTTCTTCTTTCTCTCTCTTTAACCTACCCACTCACTTACCTATGGTCAGAGTTGAAGTCTCACAAACAGTATGCGTGATGCTCGTCCATTGTATATAGAAACTCCTACTTGACTCAAGACAAATACCCTTTTTGTTTTTACAGTGAAAGCCTTGTGAGTGTAAAATGCCTGACATTAAGGAAACTGCAAGAGATATATTTCATCAAGACAAATAAATTCTTACTGATTGGAGACAGCAAAATATGTGTGAAGCTTGAACAAAAGGCCTTAACTTGCAGAAAATTGAACATAATCCATATAGGTAAGAAGATTAGGGGGGGGGGGATGATTTCCATTTTTCAGATATCTGAAGATATTGATAGTGTGTGAATTTTCTGAATTTTAAAAGTAGACAAATCCTGAAAGTTATTTGCATTAGAGAAAAGCAAATTCTTTAACACAAATAATCTTTTTTTAAATTTTATTTTCAACCACAGTTTACATTCACTACCATTATGTACCGATTTCAGCTGTACAACAGAATGGCCAGAAACACCATGAACTCTACAGAGTGTTCCCTCCTCTGTCCCAGGCTCCACCTGGCTCCACACGCAGTTATCTAGACATTATTGACTGTATTCCCCACACTGTAAACCGTATCTCTGTGGCTGATCTGCATCTACCAACTGTACTGCTTTATTCCTTCAACTTTTTCACCCAGACTCACAACCCCCTTCTCTCTGACAGTTGTCAGTCTGCTCTTTGTATCTATGAGTCAAATAATTTTTAAAAGAAATGAAAGTTTTGAAGTGTATGCTATTAATTCTTACTGGGAGAATTCTCTGGGTTTTCACACTCAGCGAATGAAGGTGATTGGCACCTATAGATTGCAAGAGAAGTTAATCTATCTGAAGTGTCTAATGGGAGCTGGGTCACTTGTTATCCACTCACCTACGCCCTGTCCTTCATCACCTCGCCTTCTCCTATATTCCCTGCAGACTTCTCCCCATGTACTTACCATATTCTGAGTGTGTTTAACTAAATAATCAAATTATTTTAAAAAGTAAATATGCCTTCTGTAATAGAATTCTCCAGAGGAAAGAAAACCTATAAGGAATATATGTATTTTTTAAGATCTTGGCCCACATGAATGTGGGGGCTGGCAAATCTGAAATTTGTAGGACAGGCCAGAAGGCTAGAAATCAAAGAACATGGATAGTGTAGTCTTGAGTCCAAATTCCAAAGGGCAAGTAAGACAGTCTGTAAACTCAAGCAGGGTTGAATTTGAGACAGACTTGCTTCTTCTTCAGGGAATCTCAGTCTTCGCTTTCCAGGCCTTCATCTGATTGTATGAAGCCTACCATGCTATAGAGGGTAATCTGTTTTACTCAAAATCTACCACTTTATATTTATTTATTTATTTATTTATTTATTTATTTATTTTTAACCCTCACCCAAGGATATTTTTCTATTTATCTTCTGATAGAGTGGGAGGGAAAGGGAGAGTCAGGGAGAGAGAGAAAAACATTGACATGAGAGGGACACATTGACTGGTTGCCTCCTGCACGACCTGGACCAGGGCTGAAGACGAACTTCAACCAAGGTATGTGCCCTTGGCTGGAATCGAACCTGAGACTCATTGGTCCACGGGCCGATACTCCAGCTGCTGAGCTACACTGGCCAGGGCTCAAAGTCTACTGCTTTAAATGTCAGCTGTGTCCTTTTAAAAAAATATTGTACCTTTAGACGCATTTGACCAAGCAAATGGGCACCAGTTGATACATGAAGTTACCGTCACACCTTCCTAGGAGACCTATTATTGAGGATTGTTAGCAAATCTGGTTTGACCTAGAATACATATATTACACTTTGAGAAAAAAGTGATAACTATATTTTAAATAAAATTATAATTATAATTTGAATTACTGAATATATCTGCATGATAATAACCATATATATAATAATACAAATTAGTAAATCCATTTAATTATCTGGGTCGAAGTCAATATTAATTACCAGTTTACCATTTGGTTACCAAGCAAGTAAATCAAAACAATCAGAAAAGTTGGGATTTTGACCCCAAAAATGTTTCCATTACTTACAGATTGAGGTGAATAAAGTTCTTTACAAAACCTCAGAGATACCCAGGTATAGGAGAAAATATAAGCCAACTATGATATATCAGTACAATAGAATACTAACTACTTGTATGTATTCTACCTATGGAGAGTTCATGCACATGTATGAAAAACTGTTCAAAGTGATTGAAGAGATGAATTATTTCAATACTCTGGCTTTAAATACGCTGGCTCTGTCTCTCCGTATTCTCAACAACCCCTCCCCCCCCACACACACACTTACCCTCAAAAAATAAAATTAAATGTAGGAGAGCAAGACAATTAAATGTAGAAACAACAAAGAGAAATGGAATCTAGTCTCAACTTTGTTCACTAAGATGATAAAATAAAGAGTAAAAGCAGAAGTTCCACATGTGAACAACTATCTTCAGACAACCAGAGGTGGTGGGAAAGAGACAGACACAGCAGGTGTCCAGGGGGAGCTGCCAGGCCCAGCATGCGACACAGGGAGCTGGGTCTTGCTCATCTGGAGACTCAGCTGCTGTGGATGGACGCTCAGCTTCTGCACTGCACACGGACACTCTATCTACAGCTTTGCCATTTACATTGCAAATACCACCTATTCGCTCTCTGAAACCAGGCGGAGAGGGCAGAGGCTCTCGATCCTCCGCCAGAGTCCCCGAGCACTGGAGGAGAGCCCCTTCCTACAGAAGCCTTCACCACATGGGGGCCTGTGTGTACTTTACACAGTGAGGGTGTGAACACTGGCATGTTGCACACGCTCCGGGTGGCACCCTGCCCCATCTGAATCCCGAGATCTCACATGCCCAGGGTGTTTAAGGGTCCACATTCTGCAGCACCCCGCAGACTGCTAACCTGACACGCCTCGGTTGAGGGGCCAGGGGAGAGGCGGGGTGCACACTGCTGGTCGCATGGGCACCCGTAAAGGGGGCGGTGAGAACACGGGGCTTTGGAAAGCATCCTTGGGCAAGAAGGATGAAAGTGGTGGAGGCGTCTCACAGCAGCATCTTCCTCTGGTTCCTAATGTGACGCTTTACTGACAGAACTGTCTCGTAATTAAATTGCCACTGGATGCTCTTGGTGGAAGGTCAGAGGCCGCGCCTCCCACCAGCTGCCTCCTGCACTCCGTCCCCGTCGTTGGGTCTAGAGGGGCAGCTTCCTCCTTTCCCACTGTTCTGGGCAGGGTACATCTATACCGTTGTTCAGGTTGTGCAAGAATAAATAAACGTTATACACTGTTACTTGAGGAAGGAGCATCTTTTTCGAATGTGCTCGAAGACAGCATTTAGGCTCAAGGCCGACGGATGGGGAGAGTGGTCCGAACAAGCCTGTGGAGGACCGACCACGGGGTCCAGAAACGAGAGCTAAACGAAGAATAGCGAGCATCGGGTCAGACAGAATTGAACTTAAATCCTCTTAAACCATCCGACAGGGGCCAGAACAAAAATCAGTCAACCTCTCTGAGACTCAATTTCCTCCTCAGCGTAGCGGCCGTAAGGGATTGTTGATGGAGATGGCGCGGGTAAGGCACGTGGCACTTAGTGGGTAGATGACCAATAGTAGTCAGGTCTTCCTTAATTCTTCCTTTATCTCCCTTGGGAGATGGGGGTGGAGCAAGGAACTCAGTGCCAGAGGTTTTGTTGAGAATGTGATTCTTGATCATTGTTTGGATGAAGGGCAGGCTCTGGCCTGGTGGCGTGGAGTTGACAGGGTCCCCGGTTGTCCAGCTTCCCTGCACTTTTCCTCCTGCTTCCCTCAGGCATCATCCCTTTATCTAGTGCCTCTAAGGGGAAAAGGATCAACTTCCCCTTTCAGCAGACATCTGCGGGCATAGAAGGAGCCACTTCCTGTTTTATAGAGCCTCTGGAGTCAGGCAGGAGAAACTCGGCCAGTCACCACCATGAGAACTGCTGGTAGTACATGGGCCAAACTCCTGCACACAGTTCATTTCATTGAGTCAGCAAGTCAGTCAGAAAGCCCAGCTCAGTCTACTGAGTCAACTCTGATGAGCACACCCTCTCTCATTCATTAACAAAGGGTTTAGGTTCTATTTTAAGCTCTGCTCCCCTCTCTCTGTCTGAGATCAGCCATGCAGAACAGTGGCTGCCCCACCTCTAGGTAACAGACCTCCCAGGCTCTGGTGAAAGAAGCTAAGAGGCCAGGGAAGCCTCTGGTCAGTGGTGGGGAGGCGGCCTGACACACATGATCTTCTAAAAATCCGATACCTTCCTTAGGGTTTGCTCTGCTTAAAATAATACACATCGTTCTCCAGTAGTATTTCTATATGGTGCGAGTGATCCTAACAGCAATTCTGGGAGGCAGGCAGGCAGAAGGAAGAGGCCAGAGAGGGGCTTGGAGCAGATGAGGTTGAAGGAGGAGGCAGTCTGAGGTCACACTAGAGGCTCCAAGCCACGGCCAGGATGCAGACCCTTGACTTCTACGCAGCTGGAATGAGGTGCAATCTTATCACCTGATCTAATTGGAATAATGAACACTCAAAGTTTAAATACTCTGCTTTGGGGCTAGTTGATAACAAGTATTCAAAAGGTGAAGAGAATGTGTTTTAGTGTAAAATTAGCACTAGCTGCTATAACAAATAAGCCCTAAAAACGTATGATATCTCAAACACCATTAAGTTTATTCCTTGCTCTCCTAAGAGCCAAATAGTGTTTCTCCCCTGTGGTTGGAGGTCCTCCAGGCGATACTGAGGACTCCTTCATCCTGTGGCTCCACTGTCTTCAATATTTGATTCCAAACGGTGCAAGGGGAACAAGCCCAGGTTCACACATGGGGGTTTCTAGGCCAGGGTAGGAAGTAATGCACATCCCTTCCACTCACGCTGCTCACTAGGCTACCCTCAGCAAGGGGGCTGGGAAATACAGTCAGGCTTTGAACCAGGAAGAAGAAGAAATGGTTTTCTGAACAGGAATGTGATTTTCAGAGCAGATGAACTTTAAATATTACAATTATTTTCTTGACTGTCTTAAGGCGGACATTATTCTTTTTTCCTTTCCAGTTAAACCAGAGGCTCCTTTTGACGTAAGAGTCATCTATCGTGAGGAAGCAAATGACTTTGTTGTGACATTTAATACATCGCACTTGTGGAAGAAGTATGTCAAACAATTAATACATGAGGTAGCCTACCGCCAGGAAAAGAATGAAGGCGATTGGATGGTACGTGGGTCAACTACATCTATAGATTAGTAAATGCATAAAGATGTATATATACTATACTTAATAAATAAATAAAATATATAAATTAAGATATATAAATGTATAAAACTATTAAATAAGAATGTCCTAATGTTACATTTTTTTTTGTTGTTCCAGAGTTGCATTTACCTGGGGAGGTCCCCTAGCAATTTTGTGCTCAAAATGTACCTAAGAGTAAAAGCTTCAGGTCCCACAAAACCTGAATCTACTCTGGCCTAGTCTTCTTCTGACTCTGTTTTGGGTTTTTCTTTCTTGCTCTATTTTTTGGTTTTATGATGTTTCTAAATTAGGTTGTTGGACTAGCCATATAGGTGAAAACCAAGTCAATCCTCTCTATCTGGGGGTCTCAAAAGGTATCCCATTTAGCTTTCACAGGCAAAAACATCACCAAGTCATAGCCACAATTGATCTACGGAAGTTATGAGAGTTATTAAAGAGAGAGAAAGGTAGAATTATATCTTGCTGGAGGGAAATGATTTTTGCACACTAACCTTACCACTCCCTTTCGTCTCTTCTTGAAATGTGAAAGGAGAGATAAAGAAAAAGAAGAGCTTGAAGTGTGGGAAGAGAGGTGGAGCCTGGGAATGATTTATATCCTCCCGAAGTAGGAGAGCCCACTCACCTGAATAATAACCCATTGTACAAGGGTCCGTCCTCCTTTGCCATCTGTAGCATCATTTATGAGCTCATAGTCTGTGCTCCACATTTTGCTGCTGACCCCTTCACGTATCAGTTTCTTCTTGTAACACATATGAGAGAACTTTGAGTGAATGTCCACAAGACTAAAGACACTTGACTTGAGTGACTTGAAAGATCTGGGCAGAATCTGTTTTTTCATCCTAAAAATGTAGTGGCACTTTTTGCTCTTCAGCACGTGAATTTATCCAGTACGAAGCTGACACTCCTACAGAGAAAGCTACAACCTGATGCAATGTATGAGATTAAAGTCCGATCCATCCCCACCATGATTTATTTTAAAGGCTTCTGGAGTGAATGGAGTCCAAGTGTCCACTTCAGAACTCCAGAGACCAAGGTCCCAGGTGAGAAGTGACTGAAGAGTCTCCGTTCCCCGCAGAGAGATTTTCAGATCCAAGTGTGTGAGGGAGAGGGAGAGGGAGAGGGAAAGCGAGGGAGATGACGCCCCAAAGGGCTTTCTTACACTTTATTTGGAGAAGAGCTGCCATCTTTGCCCTTTATGTGAAGAACCAGGAAGTGGTGGGAGTTGGACCCTCCCACCTATATCAGTTGCTGACCAACTGATGGGCCTGTCTACTGCCCTGGGTGTTCCTGGTTCTGCTAATATCTGAAAAAAAAAAAAAAAACCCTCATCCACTGCCTCCAGTTTACCAATTCAGATGAGGATCCTAGTGCCTGGTGTCTCTAAGACCCCTCCAGGGAATATCTCTGTGGATGGCAGGTTAGCAGGCTGATAGGGCTCTCCACGCCCTCTTTCCAGATAGTGAAGATACCCCGGTGGTCTAGGAAAGGAGAGTGGCCGAAAGAGCCAAAGGGCATGTCTTAGGCAGCTCCCTGGGGACCTGAAGCACTGCACATATCTCCCCTTTGGGGGATAAGGGGAGCTGATCGGACACACTAACCTCTCACCCTCACCCTAGAAATGGCTGAGACTATAGGAGAGAGTATCTATCTCATCACCCCACTGCCTGGCTTCTTACTCTTGGTGATGGGAGTTGAGGAGGGAGTGCTGGTATCTTTAATGTTAGGTCACTTTTACATTGTAAGTGACAGATATTCTGGACCTGGTCACCTAAGTCAGGGCCACTTTCTGAAGCCAAGATTTCCCCCATAAAGCTATAACATCATCCTGTTCACTGAAGAGCAACTTCCAAGAAATAGTAAATGAACCAAGTTACCAAATAAACTGATCGTCCTGAAGTCTCTCCCATGACATGCTAATGATTGTTAACATAGAACTATCCTTGCATTCCAGGAAGGCTGGAGCCTATTCTACTAACAGTCAGCATTCTGAGTTTCTTCTCTCTGGCTGTGATGGTCATCTTGGCCTGTGTGTTATGGAAAAAAAGGTGAATTTCTTTCATTAAATGGGTGATTGTGTGTCATCCCAGACAGTCAGAGCTCTAACCCTACTTATTGATGAGAAAACTACAAAGAGGAATAAGGCATTTCAGAAATTATAGTGCCCAACATCCCTCATCCTCAGACATTCATGACGTTTCCTAGTTTCCTAAGAGGCGAAATATATAAACCAGACATCAGGTGAATGCTCACCACAAACTTTTCCTCCTAAAGGAGTAGGAGTCGTGCCTTCAGAATGACTGAGCAACCAAAGACACCTATAGAAAATGTAGAACATATTTGAAGTCTTGACTTTTAGCACATGTTCACAGGACATTTGCATTCTACCTTATGATACGTCCATGTTTGTTTCACCATAAAAATGGTCTTTTAGATACATACCAGTCAAGTTATGAATGCTCTAGAAAGATGCCTTCAGCACAGGGCCACACGTCCAAGAATGCAAATACTCCCATTTGAAAAGCACCATCTCAAAGCAATTTCTTTGTGTAACTTAGAAAATGTTCCTTACTTCTACAAAAATGAGAGAGAAGGAGTTGCTGCCAAAAAAGAGAAGGAATAAGATGACAACATATATATTAGGAATCGATGAACAGCTCCAACTGTCACCAAACCTCTGCACTGCCAAGCCTCATCGTTCCTTTTCTCCAGTGCTCTTTCCCAGAGGTGTATCATTGTTTTGTCTTGTTCGCAGAGTAGATCACTGAAAGCAGTCTCTGGTCTAAGTCTTCCATGGATAGTAGGACACTGAGGCCCAGATAAATCATTTGCCCAAGGTGACCCACCTAGCTGGGACAAAGCCAAGACTAGAAATCCATTATTCTGGTTTCTGGCTCAGAATAAGTGGAAAGATCTAATGTGCCTGCTCCCTCCGCCATTCTTTTCATCTATCAATGTCCTCTAATTTCAGAATTAAGCCTATTGTATGGCCCAGTCTCCCTGATCATAAGAAGACTCTGGAGCAACTGTGCAAGAAACCAAAAAAGGCAAGTGCTTCTGATGCCCTTCCGTCACTGTGTTCAAGGCGTCGCAACAGCCAGAAATGATATTGCAGGATAAGAAAGAGTTGAACTCAAGTTTTGGTCTTTTGTGCGATCCCAAATGAGGATTCCTCATAAGGTTCTACCTGTAGCTTCAGGGGTAGGAAACAAAAGTGAGATATAAGTTTCAGAATTTTCTAGGCTTCCCAGGACTAAAGGGCACAGCCAGTGGTCATTTCTGACCCTGAGGTGTCCTAGCACCTCCAAAAGCAAAAAGTCAACTAGAATATGTGGGTTCATCTCTGACGTTCCCTGGTAAACCCCTGTTAGAAGTTCTTTAGATTTTTCCTGAAAAGACCATTCAGTGGTATGTCTCTCCAGGGCACGTTTTATGCCTTCTCTCTCTTTTCTTTTTGATGCAGAATTTGAACGTGAGTTTCAATCCTGAAAGTTTCCTGGACTGCCAGATTCACAAGGTGGATGGCATCCTAGCTAGAGAAGAAGTGGAAAGCTTCCTTCAAGACACATTTCCGCCACATCTGGAGGAATCTGAGAAGCAGAGGCTTGGAGGGGGTGTGCAGGGCCCCAACTGGCCAATAGAGCATGTGGTCATCACCCCAAAACCTTTCAGAGAAGATACACCACCCAAGTGCCTGACTGGGAATGCGAATGTGTGTGGCACCCCTGTGCTCCCCTCCTCCCGGTCCCCAGACTGCAGGGCAGGTGGCAAGAACGGGCCCCCTGTGTACCAGGGCCTGCTGCTTGGGCCTGGAACGACAAACACCACTCTGCACCCTCCGTTTTTCTTCCCATCAGAAATCCTGATATTGAACCCAGCTGCCCAGGGACAGCCCCTCCTCACTTCCTTGGGATCAAATCAAGAAGAAGCGTATGTCACCATGTCCAGCTTCTACCAAAACCAGTGAGCTGTCAGAAACCCAGGACTGGAACCATGCGAGCAACAAAGACGGCTGAGCTCCCACTCCCTTCACAGCACAGAGACAGAACTAACCCACCCCTCTCCTTACCTACAGGATTCTGAACCATCGCTTACCCCACCCTCCCCCTACCAGCATGGGGCAGGGACATTCTGCTTTGGGCAGTCCAAATGATGCAATTATTTCAGAAAGTACAAAAAGCAGAAAAGAGCCAAAGAACGAGTGGAGGAAATGATGAAGATGGGGGCAGGGAAGGCAGGAAGCGAGCCGGGAAGAAGAGGGCGTCCAGGGCTGGAGGAGGGCTGCTGTCAGGAGGACTTGCCGTGCGTCTGGGGCTGGAGGAGGGCTGCTGTCAGGAGGACTTGCTGTGCGTCCAGGGATGGAGGAGGGCTGCTGTCAGTAGGACTTGCTGTGCGTCCAGGGCTGGAGGAGGGCTGCTGTCAGTAGGACTTGCTGTGCGTCCAGGGCTGGAGGAGGGCTACTGTCAGTAGGACTTGCTGTGCGTCCAGGGCTGGAGGAGGGCTGCTGTCAGGAGGACTTGCTGTGCGTCCAGGGCTGGAGGAGGGCTGCTGTCAGTAGGACTTGCTGTGTGTCTGGGGCTGGAGGAGGGTTGCTGTCAGTAGGACTTGCTGTACATCCAGGGCTGGAGGAGGGCTGCTGTCAGGAGGACTTGCTGTGCGTCCAGGGCTGGGTCAGGACTCGGCATGTCTCCCTGCACCCTCACCATACTGGGAGATGGGAGCAGTTCTTACTATCATTATTAACTATTAGTATTCTCTTTGTTATAGATGATGAAACGGAGGCTTAAAGTAACCGCCATGCTTCCCACTCAGAGAGGGTGGGGACCAGAGTCGCTGCCGAGAGTCCAGGGCAGTCCGCCCGCAGCCATGCCTTCCTCCTGACTAGGGGCTGTCCATTCTCCAGTACCAACCCTCCCTAACAGCAAGACGACTAGATAATCTGTGTCCAAACTGGGTCACTTTAGAAAGTGAAAGGAGGTTATAAATAGTTACTCCAGGACAATAAGCATGCACCGGGAGTGTCCCGGACAAGTGGAGATATAATAGGAGAGCTGTGGGGAAGGAAGTACGGGAGAAAGTCGTGACGTGTGAAGCACCAGGCAGGGCCCACCGCATCCACACGAAGTGAAGGAGGCAGCCAAGTGCCAAAGCCCATTTCATTTCATTTTCCTGAAGAAGTGCGGGAGGGGAAGCCCGGGATGTCTATTGCTGGTTATCACCAACCCAACCTCTTGCTACCTCACTCAGCTGCTTCCATGGGTGGAAGAAAAACCTGTTGCCCGCTCTGGTTCTGGTGCATGAGAGCAGTGAACGGGGAGTCACCCTCTGTGTGTGTAGAGGAGGCCCCGGCCCAACTCGTCCCAAGATCTGCAGCCATAGACGGGAAGCGAAGAGGGGTAGACGGTCAGGGTTCTGTTTGGGGCTGGTTGTCATTGTTGTTGTTTATGTTTTGTGGGGTTTTTTTTCTTTGTTCTGATTGGAGTTCGTTTGGGAGGGGACTGTTTTCAATTTTCTTGTTTGTGGCTGTTTTGTTTTGTAATGTCTGTGAAGGGAGTTTAAACGGTGGACTAATCCACATTATCTGTTGGTTTAGACCCAACAGTAATCAATCAGATCATCTCACTCTTCAGTCGGGGGTTGCACTTGCCAAGTCCTTTTGTCTGATCAGGAGTAATGAACATAATCCCGTAACCCCGCAGTCTCGCTTTGTGCCTGTGGTTTTTCAAGCACCCCCATGAGCATTATCTCTCTCATTTCCTTGATAAGGATTCATGAACAGCCTGCTATGTGCACACCACCGGATTAGGAACAGGAGATCTAAGAAGCAAGGTTGGGACCCTGCCCCCATTAAGTGAACAATTTAATGAAACTGGCAGCTTTGTAAACTAGTGGTTGTAATGATGTGAAGTGCTACAGCGGAGACCTGTTCACAGTGCCCTGCTGGAGACAGGGACATACCACAAAATGACACACAGTGGCAAGGAGGAAAAGCAGAACCTGCTGATGTGTAGGTAGAAGACATCTTCCCCAGGTGGGCATGTGTTCGTTACCCTTTGAAGAAGTGGGAACCAAGGTGACCTCAAAGAGAAAGCCATCCCAGAAAACCTCATGCCCGGCCCAGCTGCCTTGTACCTTATTCAGAGAGGCCCTCTGCAGTATGTGTTGCCGTTTTCTCTGACTTAAGGAAAAATTGAGACACAGAGAAGACAGGTAAATTACTCAGGCTTCCTCATTAACTCGGGAATAGAAGCCAGAAGTTCATATCCCTGGAAAAAGTAGGCAATCTCTTAAAGAAATGAAGAGAAAAGTCAAGGTCCCTCCAGCTTTAAAATATATTTTAGTGTTGTTTGGCATAGGTTATAATTTGAATTTAGAGTGTGACTGTCACTGCAGGCATTGAAAATCATGTATTATAATTGTCACTGCTGCTAATGCTTGATCATATACTCAGAGACGACGTATACTGTAAGGTCACAAATTTCTTCTGACCAACCACACTTTGGATTTTATTAAGCAAGAAAAATTTCTGGTCAGAGACAAAGTATAAGTGAGAGATGAAAACTGCTAGTTCTGTATAGCAAGAAATGGAAAGAAAGCAGATAGACAGCTAAAGTTGGTCAATGAAACCACTATACGTCTGGATCTTGGGATCCCTGGCTCATTCAGTTGGCTTTCGACCAGCCCTTGCTTCTCTTGTCATCCTGGTTTCCATGGGAATTTGCTTCAGAAAGCCAAGTTTGGGCTGTTTCACATGTGTATTCTTGTGTTCATAGCATTGCTACAGGGGCTTCAAGACAGACGTAGCCAAGGAGACGCTGACCATACATGGATGGACAATTGGAAAGATACAGATCAGATGGGGCTATTCTTAAAAGTATCCATTGTTCACTACAGTAAACATTCCTGATTTGAATGTGTACTTTCCACGTGCATTAAAAATGTTTTGCAGAGCTGCTAAGTATATAAGTATCCGATATGTATTACCATCTCATACTTAATTAAATGCTATGGACCTCTTTGTGACTGTACTTGTCTTCTGTGAGAAATACGGATGCAGGGACACCCCGGTGGCCACAGTTCTCTTTGGAAAGGAAACATTCTGGTGCCCTTTGCTGTCATTATATAGGTTTGGATTTTCAGAGAAGACTGTTTCATCAATTAAGTAGTTAATTCACATATTAATCAATTAACAGAAATGTGTTGAGGATTTGCTTTGCACTGTGCTGGACACTGGGCTGTCAGAGATGAGATGGGATGGTCCCAGCTTGGAAACACATGGGGACAAAGACACACAGGAACGGTTACAGTGTGATATCATTTCTTCAAGGCTAAGTATCATCAGAATTCTTAGCTTTGAGCAATGAACATCAATTTGGCTAATTTCAGCAGAAAAGGAATTGATTAAAGGCTAATGAGGGCACTCAGACTATCTGGGAGGATGGAAGAATCAAACATGGGAGTCACAGAGACAGCCTTGTCTCCACCACTGGTAGCTCTCGCAGCAGCCCTGTGACTTCACATCACTCTCGGCTGGTTTCAAGGCAGAGCTGCAGCCCGTGGCCAGTTGCAACTATGCCCAGCTCATGAGCCGAGGACCTAGCAACGGGAGCCTCTTCTACAGTGAGAGGCAGGCTCGGCCTCAGAGAACGGGGCGTTCCCCAAGTAAAGGAAAGAAGTTCTGCGTGCACACACACACACACACACATACACGCCTTAGAGAAGAAGCTCCAAGAAGGGTAAGGTGAAGGAAGTCACACTTAATGTGGTGGCACACAGTACATAGGTGGGTGCCTGATCAAGGAGCCTGGAGTACGAAGGAGACATTTCCGAGCAGAAGAAAGAGCATGTTCAAAGTCATGGATCTGTGACAAGTAATGGAACATTACTTGTTACAAATACACTGGGTGATGTTCCCTTATTGGTCTCAGCTGCAAACAGTAGGGTGTTGGTGGTTACTCCTGAAAGTAAGACACAGGAAACTTTCATAAAAATAAAACATAAAAAATAGGTATTTTCCTGTAACACTTTATTTTAATTAACAACATATATCTGTATATCCATTCTGCGCTCTTTTGGTACAAGGCCAAGGCTGATCCTTTGAGTGACACACACCATCATGCATCATCTTCTCTTTCTAATTCTGCTTCCTTTAAAGTGGAAAAGAGCTTTCAAAAAATATTTAAGTGCAGTTGCCTAACTCTTAAGGATCTCCCACACCAATCTTTTATTATCACCTTTCCAACTGTACACTAGCAGGATTCTGTCAACGTGGCTTGATGAAGTCTTTTCAAACCATTCAAGGTTGTTCTCACAGATCAACATCAGTCTTACTTTGCATACTCATATTTCATCAGCTTGCATAATATCATTGCAGAAACAAGTTCGCTGGCCTACATAAGTCTGGGAGCAGACAGGACCGACTTGGGTGAGTTTATGTCTCATTTGTTGGGTACAGCATACACTGGAGGACAGCCCTGTGGCAGCCGAGTCTCAATGTGGGTGTCAATGTATCTCACAGAGAGCATGGCGAGTGCTGGGCCATTGGCAGGTGGTCCAGTGGAAATCGTCTGCGGCCATCAACTTCTTAGCATTCCTAGTCCAGAGAGTGTGCCAAGCAGTGGCTGAGATGACACTTGGCAGAATTGGTGGCGAGCAATGGTTAAGCCTTTGACATGCCAGTCCAAGATATGTTGATTTAGTCTGAAGAGGATGAGCATATTTAGGAGGATTTTAATCAGGAGTGTGGCATAATAAATTTCATGTGTGTATCAGAGTTTACGAAGGGAACCTGATGCACCTTCTACTTACCCTAATGTCCCCACACTGATTTGTAGTGATCTAATTTGTCTGATTCTCCCCAGGCTCCTAAGCACTCTGTCAAAGAGGACTATGACTTATTGAGGTGCATGCCAATTACTAAATATAGCATCTAAAATCTAGAAAACACACAATCATAAATGGAGTGAATGAATCAACATATTAGGGAATGATGTTGTATTCGTCAGTGTGTTTCCTCATGGCCACTCTGGATAGAAGAATGTCAGGTCAGGATGCTCAGCCGGAGGCAGCATCCCTGAGAGAACAGCCCATGTGCACCCACGTGGAAGGAGTCAGTTGTGTTCCCCATCCACGGTTGCCTCCCCAGCTGCGCTCTTAACCACTGTAACCACAGAGGTGGGGAAATAATAGGGTGGAGTGAGGTGGGGTGGGGAGAGAACTTTCCAAAGTTTTATCTCTCTGATGAATATCTGCATTTGATTGTGTTTGTTCGTTGATTTACTTCATTCTAGATCAACTTTTACTTCTTTTTTTAAAAAAAAAATTCTTTATTGATTTTAGAGAATGAATGGAGAGGGAGAGGGAGAGGGAGATAGAAACATTAATGAGAGAGAACATCGATTGGCCGCCTCCTGCATGCCCCCCACTGGGGATTTGGCCCACAACCTGGGCATGTGCCCTGACCGGGAATCGAACCAGTGACCTCTTGGTGCATGGGTTGATCCTTGGCCACTGAGTCACCCTGGCTGGCTGGGCATTTGCTTCTACTTTTGAATGTCAATGGCTTGCGGCATTTGTGTATAATTTGCAATGATGTAGCTGTTCAAAGAAAATAAAACCTGGTGGGTCCAAGGAATATACTCACACTCCTCAAGACACTGGTAGAAACCAAGTGCAAACAGCACACAAGCCCTGAGGGTGGGAAGTAATGTTTCCATGCTGAGTTCTGCAGATGTACTTACAGTAATCTGGCGGCCCCTTCCAGAAGCCGCGAGAGCTGGTTCCTTTTCTCCTCTGGGTGAAGATTTCTCACCCAGGGGAAGAACTTGCAGAGGCTAAGAAGGACTTTTTCTTTTCTTTCTTTTTACAACAAATTAGGTGCCGCAAAATATAAACTATGCCAGTCATCAGACAAAAATAAAAGCAATCAGGAAACATTTTAATATCAAACTAAAGATACTGTTATCCACTGATAACAGTGAAATATTAACTTGATAGCCTAAGAAATGTTTTGTTTAATTAGATAGAGGTTCAATAAATGCTGTGGCCTAAGATTGATGAACATGCTACGAAATCCTTCCTGCATGTTAATAAACTTTCATGAATTTAAGTGGAAGTTGCCAGTGAAGATTTGAGTGGTGCTTCAATTTATGTTTTAAATTTAAAATTAGTAAAGTAAATATAGAACATAAACCAGGGTCGGGCTCATTGGTGAGATTTATTAAAAGTACGCCATTAGCCCTGGCCAGTTTGGCTCAGCGGTTAGAGCGTCAGCCTGCGGTCCGGAGAGACCCGGGTTCGGTTCCCGCTAAGGGCACGTACTTCGGTTGCAGTTTGTCCCCAGCCTTGGTTGGTCGTGCGGGTGGCAGCCACTCGATGTGTCCCTTCACGTCGATGTTTCTCTCTCTCTCTCCCTTCCTCTCTCTCCCTCCCACTCTATCTGTACAAAAAATGGAAAAATATCCTCGGGTGAGGATAAAAAAATAAATAAATAAAATTTAAAAAGTACGCCATTAAATTTAGAAATAAAGCAAAAACAAAAATTCCACTGTCACCACTTTAATAGTAGTCTAGGAAATGCTGGGAAATGCAAGCAGATGAGAAGGCTAAGTAAAAAGCATAAATATTAAACGGGAGGAAACCAAATGATCATTATTGGTAGATGAACTGATTGCACATCTGGAAAACACAGGGGATAAAGTGGGGAAAAAATACACCAAAAGACACAAAGACTTCACTAAAGGCCTTTGAGTGTAATAGTTTCATGTGTTAGTTATTCCTTTAAATATTCATTGAATCTTTATCATGAAACTAATACTTGCTTATTTTCAAAATGTAAGAAGCACCGGCGTATGTGATGTAAGAAGACCACATTTCCTAATCCCACTTCTCAGAAACAATCACATTTAATGATTGACATGCAGCCCTTCACATTATATACATATACACATATGCTATTTTTCTAAATACCCGGTGGAAAAACATATATTCAAGAAGAACCTGCTCAATTCTGGAGAAATAAAGAATTGAGAAGAGACGAACTACATGAGTGTTTTTAACATTTTATTCACTTTTAAAGGCAAGGTAAATTACTTTCATTGAGAAGTAACACAATGATAATAATTATTAGTGCAAAAAAATTCTCTCTCTAGAAATCATTGATATCCCAGACTATATTTTCTTTATTTCTGTTTCACAGGGAAATCAATGGAATAGAATAGAGAACCTGTGTTTCTAGATCCATGTACTTACAAAAAGATCACACATCTCTAGTTAGTAGAGAAAAGGTCGATTATTTAATAAATGAGATTAGAACAATGCACTAGTCATTTGTAGATAAAGAGAAAAATACTGACTTCTTTTTTTTTATTTTTATTTATTTTTATATTAGAGAAAGAGGAAGGGAAAGGGCGAGGGAGGGAGAGGGAGATAGAAACATCGATGAGAGAGAACATCTATTGGCTGCCTCCTGCATATCGCCGACTGGGGGGATTGGGCCCACAACCTGGGCACGTGCCCTGACCAGGAATCAAACCAGTGACCGCTTGGCCGGGCAAGTCTTGATTTCTTATTGCAGAATAAATCCCACATTGACAAAGATATAAATAATTTTTAAAATGAAAACAAATATGCCAGAAGATATTGATGACTCATTTTACACTTTTCGGATGTGGAGATCATTTACAAAAGACATAAAATAATAAAATATAAATAATAAATAAGACATCAAACCCAGAAGCCATTAAAAAAAAAAGGTTGATATATTTGACTGATAAAGAAAAAAATGTCTCTTTTGATCAAAATTCTCAGTCATTTTGTCAAAGGTTTTCAGGAAGAAGAGACTGCGGAGGTCTCACCTGTCCATCACCCTCTTTCCTTGTCTGTCCCATAAGGAGAAACACAGATGGAGCTGTGTATCCATGTATCTGTTAGCTGTGCTCACTGGTGCTCAGTAATAAACCAGGCTGCAACTCAGTAGGTTTTAAACATCGGCTAAGGTTACACCTTCCCCCTTCCCCTAGATGACGGATCTGAGGACCACCACACAGCCTTAGGCGGGAGTCCCAAGTAAGACCCAAGCGCCCTTTCCTGCCAGCCATCTTGAGGGGGGGAGGGCTTCCAATCTGAACGTGTATTAGAGAAAATGATCTTACTCAACACCTGACTAGCAGACTGGGATATGAAGAGACAGATGTCCTCCACAAAAGAGGCCCAGAAGAATAACAGAGCAAGTCAATCTTGCCGGAAGATTGAAGAAAGCTTTATAAAGGTGTTAACTTTTGAATTGGGCCTTGAAATAGGAACCAATTTAGTGAATAATGACTAACCTTGTTATTGTTTCAACCCCAGCTGGGTGTACTGTAATTAGTTCTGGTCCTCACCACCCAGAATTAAGGCAAACCCCACAAGTTAAAGGTCACAGGCCTCAACAAGAATTCTCTTACGTCAGATGTTACTTCTGACTTTGGGGGTCCCCAGGCCACTTATACTTCTGTATTAGCATTCTCCAGAAAAACAGAACTTGTACTTCTGCATTAGCATTTTCCAGAAAAACAGAACCAGCAGTGTATTAATCTGTGTGTGTGTGTGGTGAGAGATTTATATTAAGAAAATGGTTCATACAATTATGAGAGCTGATGTCTGAAATTTACAGAGCAAGTGGAAGGCTGCCATCTGGGACGAGTCGGCATTGCAGTCTTGGGTTGGGATGCTACAGGGCAGGCCAGGCAGGCTGGAAACTCAGGCAAGGTTTCTATACTGATGTCTTGAATTTATAGCCTGTTGTTTAAAAATGGGAGTTCCCTGTGACAGCCTCAATTTCAGCAATTCACAAAAATAATTCATAGCACTCAGGAAAGCTCTCTACTGGCAACGACAGTTTCAGGACAAAGGACACAAATCAGGAGGACCAGCCCGATGAAGAGAGGTCCAGGGCAGTCTGGGAAGCAATGCTGAACGCACTCTGCTGTCTCCTGGAATCAAGGCACCTCACCCTCTCGGCACATCAATGTGTCCGCCAACCGAAGAGCATCCTTGAGCTCTGTGGTCAGAGTTTTTATTGAGCTACATTATGTAGGTGTGCTTGATTAGATCATTATCCACGTGCCCGAACTCGATCTCCAGCACCCCTCCCCTCCTCAGAAGTCAAACTAGCCCAAAGTTCCAAGTCTTTAAACATGTACTTAGTCTTGCTGGTGACCAGCCCCCACCCTGAAACTATCTGGGTGTGCACCCTGAGTCCCCTCCCTCCCATGATTTATTAAACCGTGTTGATTGGTTACTTTATCTTCTGATTTAATGTTTCCCTCTAACATGAAACAAGAAAGTACCTGATTTCTGTGGTCAGTTCACTGCAGTTACTGTGAGGCACACCCCAAATAACAAGGAAATAATATAGGCCTCAAAGCAACACTAAAAGCACTATGGTGTTTTACACACAACGAATGAACAGAGGGTATAAAAGTACACTGAAGAGGCAACCCCACAGGCAGGGCAGGCCTGACCCGAATGATTTCACTGTTGAGGCGAATGAACATATCTACAGTGAAGTCTCCACTCTGGGGTGTTAGTCGGCTATGAAGAGAATTCAGAGAGGGCAACTTTATCAGTTCTCTCCAGGGACTATTGGGAAAAGACTATTGTGGTCTCATTGGCAAGATGAATACAATTAACTGTCAACCTAATTTAATTTATATTCTAATCTTAATGCCCTTTGTTCTGATCCCAGTTGCCAAATAACCTCATAATTATAGGTAGGTTTCCAACAAGAGATCTGACGAGGGCCCGAGTTTTCTCACTTAACAGCGTGAATAACTTGTACGTGTGACAGGAGATAGCTCCAAGTCCCCACAGAAAGCCCCTGCACGGACATAGAAAATCCCTAAGCCCTGTATAGAGGGAAATAAAAAATGAATTGCCTCGGGGTTGTGGCAACACACATTTCAAGAAGTAAAATAGGAGCATGAGGCCCAAGTGACAAAACTTACT